GTGGTGATAAAACTCCACGTCTATTCCGAGTTAAGTAGGGTTGTGGTGTGAAAGGCACCTTTGTTTATAAGGGGCCTGGTTTCTGAAAAGGGACCCAAACTCTCACGCACTGATTCAATGAGTAATGAGCAACACTCAGAGAAAACACAAGTGAGCAATTTTATCACTTCAATGCAGAGTTCAACCGCCATAAATATGCAAACTCAACCATTATATAAGGGGTCGCCAACATTGGCACTGATAATGACCAGCACACAAGCAATAGAAAAAGAGGTGTATGTATTTTATTTAAATAAAGTTCTTTAAACCTGTAATCAGCGGTAAATCTCCATCACGTGCGTGCTTTCACATTGAGCAGCATTAACTACACAGAGCCGTTGTTCACTGACGAGCTGCGCAAAAAATCGCGCGAATATATACGTGGTGTTGCGCAGCTTGCCTGTGAACAACGGCTCTGTGTAGTTAATGCTGCTCAATGTGAAAGCCCGCACGTGATGGAGATTTACCGCTGATTACAGAACCAGCTTTACTGACAAGATGCGCGTTAAATATCGCATGCGATTTATCGTGCAGCCCTATACGAGATGCAATTCTAGAAAGATTCTGAGCTGATCTCTCACCTTTTCCTGTCAAATTTATCCAGACACTCAAGAGGCTGAATAAACTGCAACACCTCATCCCACTGTCCATCCAGAATGAGCTGCCTGCAGGGGGGAGGAATGGTTGAGGGAGAGAGAGGGAGAGAAAGAGAGTCTAAACTTGGAACAAGTGTGGCTAGACAATTTGACTTGTAATAGCACAATAATAATACCACCTTCCACAACTAACAATTTAGACAAGTTTAGAATATATTCAAAGAAACTTTTTCCATGAAAACAAGTCAAAATCAACATTTCATTATCTGACTGGTATTAACATTGTATCACACTCAAATAGTACATCAGAGACGGAAATTAGCAATATAAAACACACTACATCTAAGTTTAGTAAGTTTAACGTGGTGATAAAACTCCACGTCTATTCCGAGTTAAGTAGGGTTGTGGTGTGAAAGGCACCTTTGTTTATAAGGGGCCTGGTTTCTGAAAAGGGACCCAAACTCTCACGCACTGATTCAATGAGTAATGAGCAACACTCAGAGAAAACACAAGTGAGCAATTTTATCACTTCAATGCAGAGTTCAACCGCCATAAATATGCAAACTCAACCATTATATAAGGGGTCGCCAACATTGGCACTGATAATGACCAGCACACAAGCAATAGAAAAAGAGGTGTATGTATTTTATTTAAATAAAGTTCTTTAAACCTGCATAACACTATTAACGTGTTTGCGCTAGTCAATAGACATGCATGCGACTGCTGTACATACAAGCCGCTGAGAGCTCAATGCAGATCAATGCAGTGTTGTGCTTTTGCCTAGGTTAAGTCCGTTTCACTTTCCTAACACTGCGAGACTGACAGCTTACAGTTTATTCTGCATTTGTTGCTCTTAGCTTTCAGAAAAATATATTAGTGCTATGACGTTTTTTTCAAGTCAGATTTTTCAAGAAGATTTTCAAGTCAGTATGTAGAGTTCTTAACATTTCACATGAATCACAATGATGGTGACGGTGATGTGCAAACTACAACATTCACACACACACACACACACACACACAGGGCATTCAGTAGGGTCACACTGTAAATCTGTTATTCAAAGTCTAATTTAAACCTGAAAATGAACAAACTTTTAGGATTTTGAAAAGTTTAAAACATATTTTCTGAAAAAATTGCTTCAGAAATATTTAAGATTCTGCAGTATTCATATAATATAGCCTAATCAAACAAACAAGTTTGTGATTAATCATGTTATGTAACGTGGATCATCAGGTTTCAACTATAAAATTTGTTCATTTTTATCTGAATTTTTGAAAAATGGTTATGTGGGAGGGTGAATGATGGTACTGTGTTAAAACAGAAAAATAAAAAATGGCACTTCTTGACCAAAAGGTTGCCGGCTCCTGCATTATCTGATTGGACCATAACGCCACCACATTAGGTTTTTAATTTTGATTTAAATTCTGCCTGAGTATAAGATGTTTATGGATCAAACCTGAGGAAGAGCATGTCATCTGAGTACAGGCCGTTGATGACCCCGCTCTCTTTCTCCAGGGCCAGCATGCTAATGTGCAGCTTGCGGGAGCTCAGAAAGTCCAGCATCACCTTGATGATCTCCACTTCCTTCACATTTATGATCTCCTCAGCCGTCATGGTGGCAAGCTTTCACAGAAAGAATGAGAAAATGAATAAATCATTTAGCAAATGGTTTTATCCGAGAACAGTTATAGTATAGACTTTCTCAATCAACCAATGGTCATCAGGCCATTGCTAAATTTAAAACACATGAATTCAGAAACAATTTTTAGTTTTTTTTCCCCCCCTCTCCAGACCAGATCTAATGACTAGGCTAGGCTATAAAATATAGGACTTTAGGGCCCCGCTAATCACAGGGCTAATGACAATGTTTCCAACTGTCCACCACCGATGGCAGTCCTGGTTCAACACTAGTTAACTACATTACTACAACACTTCAACATTTGCATATGACCCCTTTAACATTTCAACATTTACTAATACATTATTGAAATCAAAAGTTGCATTATGTACAGTTGCATTTTTATAACCTAACGTTAACATAGACACTATAACAAATGTACTGCTAATGGGACCTTATTGTAAACTGTTACTAATAGTTATTATTTATTATTTCAGTTTATAAAGCCCTGTAATGTACTGTAGCTAGATATCACTGCAGTGCTTAAAGACTACAAGTGAAAAAGTAACAACCTTAACTTTCTAATTAAAATACCAAACGTTATGACAAAGAAAAGTCAACATACCAGAAAATGCAAATGAAAACACACAAAAGCATGGGAGGTGACCTGCCATTCTACCAAAACTAAAACAGCCTGTTCCTCAATACTATCACATCCAATCACATCACATTATCCAACTTAACCTATTTAAAATCATTTCAAATAATTCTAATGAAAATACCACTTAGATTTTGTTTTAAAATGTGCACATTATTCCTGATAACTAAAGGAATTAGTACTACATAAACGAGAAAACTATTTATTAATATTAGGTATTACCACAACAATATTATTCCTTTGAGAATGCATATACATTATACATTCCTGGTCACCCATACATTTCTACAACAAGCACAATGTAGTAGCTTATGAATGGCTCTTTTTGGGATTTAAACTTTCAACCTTTTAGTATTACAAGCTAATTCTTTGAACCGCTAAGCCACGCCACCCCCAAACAAGCACTATGGGAAGCGCAGATTTGTTTTCTCATGCATTGCAGTTCATTGCAATACATCTATCTGACCGCTTACACTGATTATGTCCTAAATAAGATACATTACATCCCATCAGGCACCAGTGAGAGCGGACATCCACCCATATCCACCACCACAGACATATTCTGAAGCTGCGGGGGGAGAGTGTGTGTCATCCAGGCGGCGGCGCAGCAGCAGTAGCCTCCCCGGCCTCGCCTATCCTCAAATCAACGGCGATAACCGTCGCGAAGAGCAATTTTAATCTCACCTGATAATCTCTACATATAAACGAAGTGCAGAAATCCTCTGTGGGTCCGCCGAGTGTGTGTCGACACGCACTGGCTAGTGTTTTTTTTTTCCTCCGTGTTTCGGGGCGAGAGGCTCTTGTTGTCCCTGGCGCTCGCTGGTTGTCAAGAACAAGCTTCCTTTGCGCGCTCCACCAATCCGTGCTCACGCACACAAACCCCCGCAAAACCCGCCTCGGCCCGCACTGACCTGCGTGTTATTCAACAAACTGAGGCTTAATGGGGATTTGTGATTAGCAGCATTATGTACGCATTATACTATGTGTGTAAACTAACACTAAGCCGAGAAAGTAGCGGTTTATGGGGATGTTTTGGGTTTTTGTGATGGAATCATGTTCTAATGAATTGTAAATTAATACAAACAGCACAAAAAACAAATAACACAATATACACATACAAAGAACACACAAAAATATAACAAAGTTACACAATTAATAACCGATATTTAATTCAAAATGTATTGCTCGTGGTTTAAATGTTTCATTGGGGGATGATTAATTTCAATTTACAATTCCAAAACGATAGGTATATATATAATAATAGTATTTTTATTTTATTTTTTACATTTCATTAAAATCCGTTAAGTAGCCTACTATTCAACATCGCTGTAAGCGTGACCAATGTAGTTCAACTCCCGAACGAATGACTCTTATGAGTCGGTTCTTCTTTGTGTGAATCTGAAGTACAGCGCGACCACTCTGGTCCGAATCACTAATGTATCACTCTTATGAGTCGGTTCTCTTAGAAGAATTAAAATGCATACAGCACGACCAGTGCAGTCTGACTTTTGAAAATATGACAATTTTGAACCGGTTCTTTTTAGTGAATCTAAAACCAACAGCGCGACTAGAGGTAGTTTTTTGTTAGAGAAACAAAATGCATACAGCACGACCAGTGTAGTCCGACTTTCTAATAAATCACTCCTAAGCGCCGGTTCTTTTTAGTGAATCAATCCTATTCAAAAACTTTCAAACTAACTTTGAGACTTAAATCACTCGCTGTATTGACACCCACAATATGTGTAGTTTTTGTTTATACATTATAATGAATTAAATAAGTTAATGCTTTTTTTGTGCATTGCATTTATGCTGCCTTTTAGGAGTGAAAAGCTCATTTAAAATACCATTTGCACCATTTTTCATTGATATTATCTCTTCATTTGTAAATGAAAATTGTGTTGCATTTCAGTATTTATTCAACAGTTCCATTAACTATTATAATACTACTTGTAAGGAACCAGAACGGTAAATTTTTTTTATGATTCACATCCCTACCCATTATTACACACTAAGTCATAAATGATGTTATTACAAGTAGATAATAATGTTGGATCATAACAGAGGGGAAAATTAGGTCAAACAGATAAAGTTTTGGTTGTAAATCTGTATTTATGTTGAGGTTAACATTTAAATACAACAGGCAAAGCATATGACAAACAAACAGCGGAGATGACCTGGAAAAAGATTAGACAGCGTGTGGAAATGAACATCTCTCAGAACATCTTACTTTTACTCTTATCACGTCCCATCATACTTGCACCTGTTAAACATCATCTTTTTCATATGAAAAATATCAGTAATATTCAATGGCTTAAAAAATATGCTTAGTATGTAAAACTATATCTGTACAGCATCAATAAGTTCAAACAATGATTTACTTCACTTAGTAAAAATAACAAATATCTTTCGATTCTTTTGCCCCCTGAAGACAAAACGTGTTACCAGACAACAGCCTGCCCAAATAATCCCAGCTCTTAAAAATGCACTTCATAATTAAAAATTAGTTACCACATGATTTAGCAATAATATGCACCATCTCTTTGAAAGCTTCATTATACGATATTCAGTAACTCAGTGTTTCCTCTGTATTATTCATACGGAAATTTACTCTACTCAAACAGTCAGCTAAACTGCTCTGTCTCTCTAAAATGTATGTTTCAAACATACACGGCACCCAGATATTCTGGGTCATGACACTAGCGATAGCAACATATAGGAATGTATTTTATCATTCTAACTAACATGTTTAGTTTTGGTCCTCAACTTAATCAGTTAAAGGCTCCATCATTACTTTTACACCACATACAGAGTAACCCAAGCATGTTCATTTTATAGCAAGTCTTGAGTGAACAACGCTTACTGTAGCTAATTTTACACACGTTCCTGGGGTAGCAGATGTCCAACAAAATATTCAAAATATAAAAACAGAGACATTAAATAAAGCAAGAAATTCTGAGGTTCCAGTACACTAAATGCTTCTTCAACTGAATGACCATCTGTAACGTTAGTCTTCAAGTGCGGTATGTCCCTAATATAATCTTTTACACCTCCATTTCCGCAAACACAAAAGAAGCAGATTGTGTATCTTCATATGATGCAATGACTTGCTCATAAACTCAGTAAGTGTGCGTTAAGCATTGCAAAAAAGACACAACAAGACAAGCATAAGGCCACAAAATTTAACATGTCGGAAATAAAAATGACTTAAAAGCGCATCCGTCAGTGCTGCAAACAAACACACACAAGTATGTATGTGTACTGTAGAACAGAAGGTCTTGAATTCGCCACAAATGAACATCCAAAGCCCGCAAAAATGATTTCTTTACATTCAGGATGTGCATCATAATGTCCGATAGGCAGGAACACTCTCAGTGAGCTGTCAACTTATTTGAGGAGTTTTTTGGGTGTGTTTTGTTTCTTGATCTGCCAGAGGTGGCTGTAGATGGTGATGGCGTCCACACTAGCTGACATGGTCTTAGCGGGGATTTTGATGAATTGTTTCTTATCCGAGCTGTATTTGTAGAGGTTCTCGATCATTTTGGGTGTGATGGTCTTGGGCCCGATGCCAGCCAGCTTGTTGATCTCCTCCGCCTCTGGATAATATGTGTATAGAGAGCGAAACTGGCAGCCAGAGTCTCTGAACAGAATCAGGAAGTTGTTGGCTTCGGTTTTCTCCATTTCCTGGGAAACATAAAACAAATACTTACAAATATGAAATCATTATTATTCCCCTTCAGGTTTTAAATGACAGTCTAGACCTCTACACCTCTGCACCAAGTGAATCAAGAACTATTTATTTAAATAGGACTCATGTAGTATCTTCATATTCCACAGTCCCAGAATAGAAAAAATGAAATAAAAAAAATAATAAATCACTAAATAAAACCATATTTGTTACATAGAGTAAGACTTTTAATTCGCTACATAAATTAAATAGAATTTTCTACAGCAATGCTTGTGCAACATTTTTTCCCCTCACATCCAGGATTTTGTTCTTCTGTCCCTCATTGACGCGGCCCGCAAGGCAGCAGTGAGCCAGTGCGTTCTGGATGATGTGTTTATTTGATTTAGCACTGGGCTCCTTGTACAACTTTGGCCCTAGAGAGGAAGAGACATAAGAGTTAGAGGAAGCTATCAACATTTGTGTGCAGACTGCTGTTGAGGTTCAAGGTCATGACAAGGTTATGATAGGGGTCAGTCAATTTTATCCATTTAAAATGTCAAAGTTCAGTGTATTCCGTTTAGTGTTACAGTAAATGGCATACTGCTTGTTGGTAGCTGAAATAAATACTTTAAAAACGTTCTTCTACATAAAGATTTTAGATTTAAAATGTTTTTGCAGTTCATTAAATTCATTAGATTGTCATGTCACCTGTGTATTCTGCGTTAGATGCTGCAGACGATGTTGTTGATTCAAGCTCCCAGTTCTCCCCGTTTCCACTTATGGATGGACACGGTGACAGAAAGCCCTCTGTGGACTCTGGCCTGAAAATACACAATCAGACACATTTAAAATAGCTCTTTTATAAAGCCTGAAGTACTCATTTAACAGGTGGCCCTTATTGCTGCTGGAAAAAGCAATGTTTCATATAAAATCAACTGCCCAAAAACCAGTAGTAAGCATAATTCCACACACTGATGTTGAGAAGCTGAAGGCAGTAAAAAAGGAAGAGGAGCATGGATGAAGGAGAAATTGCAACTCATTGGACTATGTTCTAACCAGGTGCAAGTTTCCAGCAACTAATTCAAGTAATTTAAAAAGCCCACAGTGAAAGCAAAAATTCTGCATGACTTGTCATAGAAGTAATGGCCAATCAGAACGTATGTGATGTTTTTATACAGTAATGCAGAGCATGATTCTGTTGCAACCAGATGGACTGACAAAATGTCTTGTCACTTGTCATTTGTCGCTGGACAAAAACTAACATGGAAGTGGTATAATTTATCACTTGCACCTGGTTAAAGGGATAGTCCAACCAAAACTGAAAATTCTGTTATTATTTACTCACCCTCATGTCATTCCAAACCTGTATGACATTCTTTCTTCTGTGGAATACAAAAGAACATATTTTGACGAATGTTGGTAACAGTTTCTGGTCCTAATGATTTTTTGTCCATACTGTGGAAGCCAATGGGACCCAAAACCATTTGGTTACTAACAATCTACAAAATACCTTTTCGTGCTCTACAGAAGAAAGTCAGTCATACAGGTTTGGAATGAAAATGTCATTTTTGGGTGGACTATCCCTTTAAAGGGGTCATATGATGCTTTTTTAAAGATCATTATTTTGTGTATTTGGTGTAACAGAATATGTTGACATGCTTTAATGTTCAAAAAACACATTATTTTTCAAATACTGTACATTATTGTAGGTCCTCTATGCCCCGCCTCTCTCAAACGCTTCGTTTTCTACAAAGTCCCTCCTTCCGACAAGCGCAGTCTGCTCTGATTGGCCAGCTGACCCAGTGCATTGTGATTGGCCGAACACCGCAAGCACTCGTCGGAAATGTAACGCCCCTTACCATAATCGCGAGCTTCATCTTTCAAAATAAATGTAAAGACAGTAAATAATGTCATTAGTTTTACCATCAGTTCAAGCCCGAAAAGGGAACAGAGTCGCGTGACAGACACAGTGATGAAGCTGGTATGTGTTTGCAGTACACAAGCCACGGTTAAGACAGCTGACTCCACTGTGATGTGACCCCCCCCACTTCGCTCTCGCGCTCTCTCTCTCTCTCGCGCTCTCTCTCTCTCGCTCTTTTTTTGCTTTCGCCTAGAAACACACAACGTCTCCCTGACATGGCTGCTTCAACACTAACTGCGGTTACTGAAACCACGCCTTCTTTCTTTGCGTGAACATTTGGGCGGCATTATGCTAATATTTCCACATAGTGAGGTAGATATGTGGGGGCGTGTTAGAACAAGCCATTTTAGGGGGGCGTGGCAGAGTCTTAACTTTGATAAAGAATATAGAGAACCAAATCTCTTTGGTTTTGAGACTTTAGTCTTTGCAACTTCAGGGATCTTATCTATGCACAATCAGCTTGTAACACTCTAAAGAGAAAGGAAAACTTGAAATCGCATCATATGACCCCTTTAAGACACAATGCTAAACTGAGTTTCATAAACAACTGCTAAAAGATGAGCCATTTTCTGTTGTTGTTGTTATGATAAAGTAGCCAACAAAATCACTACAAAAAACAAATATATACTGTTATACAACAAAACATGAACACAAAGACTGCTACTGATTGTTTTATGACAAATGATTCAGAGATGATAATTATAACAGTTTATTATGTTCCATTAATATGCTGATGATCCAGTGAACTGATCTGTCCAAGCGAATGAGTTTGTCCAGTGCCCAAGCTGAAATGACAAGCCGTCGGAGACCTAATGACATGGGTATGATGCTGTCTGCAAACTGACCTTCCCTTTCTCCCTTTAGGGGAGCTCAGAAAGAAACACAGACTGCCAGGAGACAGTCTGCTGCCTCTGAGCAACCAGAGAAAAGACAGAGATACCATAGACAGAGGGTTATGAACAAGACAACAGAGATGTGTGTCAGTACTGATTAATACAAAAGTGTGGCATTTATAATCTCGACAAAAACTCATTATGTTCTCTGTTTTTGAACGATCTTTAACAGGGAAGGTAACAGTGAACTGGACATGGTCTCACCTGGATGTCCTCTTATCAGATTGGACACTCTCACTGTCTGCCAAATTAAGGGAGGCGAGTGATAAGCTGGACACAGAATATCCACGAGGTCTTGACCCTGAACACACAAATACGAATGCATATACATGCACATAATTGGCATACATTTTCTTTTAGAAGCCAGTTTCAAAAGCTCTGATATCATGAGAGCAAATTAAGTGTATTTAAGTGTCATTTTTATATGATTAAAAATATAAACATTTTAATAAAACAAAATGTAGATATATAATTATTAATATTATTAAAAATATATAATATAATTAGATTTTTTAATATTACTAAGTATATAATAATAATAATAAAAAATATTAAAATATAGATAGAGTCATATTTATTATTAATACTAATTATGGTTTTAGTAATAATATTAACATAATTATAATTAATAAAAAGTAATATTTTAATAATTGTAATATTGTTTTAAAAAAAAGAACAAAAAAAAACTATTTCCCATCGTACCTGTGGTTGTCCGTGCTGGAGGTTTTGGAGACTCCATGATGTCTCTGTGCATAGATTTGGGGCGTGGCTTCTTCTGCTTGACACTAGGGGGGCGTGGCTTAATAACACTGTCCATGTCCTCCATCAGTTTGAGCTGCTTCTTCCTCAAACATTCATTTTTTATATAATCCCGTCTTGCCTTCTCCTCCTCCTTCTTCTCACGTTCATCTTCTGCTTTCAATCTGATTAAGGAAGCAGAGAATACAAGTATGATGAACAAATTTCCCTAAAACCTTGCTTTTACAAGTTTAATGGCTTTTACAAACAATTTTGGATTAATTTATTAAATACAGAACCAAAATAAGTGAAACCTGGATGGAGTATATTCCAGTGACTAGTAATTTCAATGAATCAGTTCAACTTTTAATTTGTGTCATCACTCAGAAATGTTACGGAAAGATCTTAACTTCAAATGCTTTAAAATGGTTTAGTATTTTATTATTGTTATACTGCTGAGTATAAATGAAAATAATTTGTTCTTAGTTTATGTTTTTATATAAAAAAAACGATTTATTTTACTGTTTATTTCTATCTTCACACATTAAACATTTCAATTATCCTCTGCAACTGTTACTGCTTAGTCAAAATGCCAGTTTGTTCACCTGCTTTAACAACACCTCTTTCTAAAAACACCTATATCTTTAGCACACATTGATATCTGTAGCATGATGTGTTGAATTAGCTACAGTATCTGTGATTGTGTGACTTAGTTTACTGTGATCGTGTAGTTCTCTGTTATTGTGTGATGTTGGAGTTGTGGTGTTTTTCATACCGTGCTGCTTCTTTCTTTTGTTCCATCTCGGCCTCCTGTTGCTGTTTCTTGATCTGCATCTCTTTCTCCCTCCGTAGCCTTTTTTCCATCAGAGCTGCCTTCTTCTGTGCAATATCCTCCTCTGGCTTTAGGTCATCCTGAGTCACAGCAACACAAACAAACAATCATTCAGTCTGACACAGAACCTCATGTGCAGCTGGGTGTACGAGACAATGTCTCTCACAGAACATTGTGTTGTGCTTCATGAACGATAGAAAGCACAAACACTGAACTCAAACACAAGAACCCAAACACATTTTTAAAATACAAAGAGTCTATCTCAAATGAGCGCTTGCTTGAGAATTGCACATTTAAATGGGGTTAAAATTACAAAGACATGCTGAAGCCCTTGATCGGAGCACCATACACTGCCACCATTTGTGCCAAATACAAAGAATGAAAGTATTTTGTTTGTTTGAAATAAGCCCCTGGTTTTCGATATTTTAGAGAAATATTGTCAGGTATGGCAGTAAAATCTGCTAGTATTGTAAATAACTCAGTTCATTACGTTTTTTTTTTTTCATTGCTTTAACATGTGTCAGTTATTTAGGGCAGGGGTTTTCAATTTTTTAGATGCCAAGGACCCCTAAATATGATCATTCACTTGTTAGGGACCCCATCCTAAATTTTAAAAGGCAGTTAGGCAATATACTGTATTTAAAAGGCAATATATTTTATGTATAAAGGCCCAATTCATACTGTGAAATGAATATTATAAATATGTGTAAAATATTATTTGGCAAATATTTAGTTTCCATTACTATATTTATTTATTTAAAATTAAACTTTCATTTTTTTTATTTATTTCATTCTACTTTTTTCATAATTATAAAATTATTTCGATTATTTATTTTAACATTTTTTATACTGTCTCTAAATTTGGGGTCCCAATTTGAAAACCCTTGATTTAGACTAATTTTCTTTATATGCGAGTGATTTCTGCTCTCCAACTCTTCATACGTCCTATGCAAATATATGATTTCTCACCCTATAGAAGAAGCCACAGCACATCTTCTGGTCTGGTCTAAATTCTAATCCAGTCTCTGTTTCTTTGCTGCTCTCCAGATCATGTCCATCCAGAGGCTTCAGAACAGAGAGAGGAACCTCAATCAGATTCTTCTTCTCATGCGACTCTTCTTCATTTGTGTGTCCACTGGCTGTTACCGTCAAATGGTCCATTGTCGGCTGAGACAGAACCTCAGATGTTGGTGCATTCATGATTTTGTTACTCTCTCCAACATCCTGTTTTTCTTCTCTCTGCTTTTCATTCACCTGAGCAGATGGCGAATTTTCAGCTGCATCTTTGGAGTCTTTCTTACATGGCTTTTCTCTAGCTGTGTGGTCCTCACTGGAAGGTCCCTCATCATCTCCCAAATAGGCAAATGGGCTGGACTGCGCTTGACTCGGCAAAAAACGTCTAAGTCGAGGCAGGCTGTCCACTGACTGTTGAGTGTTGAGCATGCGGCTAAAGGGGGTGACCTTCAGCTCGTTGGGCCTTGGCGTTCGTGGCGTCCTTGCGTGGAAAGACGCGGACTTCCTTTTGATCGTAGAGGGCGAACGGTGAGTTGTGCGTGGCGAACCGGTGGACGACAAAATGGGGGAGAGCGACCCCACCGAACCTCGACCAACTAAGCTGCTGCTGCGCAGCTCACGCATCTGTTTACGTGGCGATGGCTCGGGTGGCGAAATCACCCAACTTTGGTGTTCACGCATCTGCATGATGTGTTCCTGCTGCTGTGCCAAGCGCTGCATCTCTGACTGTAGGAAGTTCAGAGACGTGTTCAGGCGCTCGATGGATTGCGTATACTCTGCCAGGTCCACCTCCACGGCTGCTTCCTCTAAGGGTGATTTCGGCGGTGCGCCGTCAGGTCGACATCTCTCAAGTCTAGAATCGGAGTCATTCGAATTCAAAGGTGTCTTTAGAGGTTGCAGGTCACTGGTTTGTTTTTCCCGACCATCTGGGCCTTCACTGTCGCCCCCTAGTGGCGACACAACTCCTTTACGCCTGACCACATTGAGGAAGGCGGTCCTGCCCATGCGCTGCCTGTGATGCGTGAAAGCTGCTTCAACTTTCTTCTTGTGTGCCTCAATGGCTCTGCGTTTCTCTTCCAGCTTCATCTTCAACTGGACCATCTCCGACGCCAACAGGTGTGAGGTATCACGAGGGGAGGTGATGCGAGAGGGGCTGTGTGCGTCAGGAGTAATCGAACGAACTGTCCCAGTCGCTCCTGGGGTTGTGACGTTCAGGTCGCCGCTCTCAGGCGTGTTACCGCCACTCCCGCTGCTGCGGCCATCGCCGTGGCTTAGTTTACGAAACTTCTGTTCGGCAAAGCTGGTCATGCGAACTGCAGAACCCAACGAGGAGGCCATGCTGGTGGCCAGGGAGCGTGTTTCCAAAAGGTTTGGACAAGGGCTGCCGGATATCTCCGGAAGTGGACAGGAACGAGCTTCGCAGTCCTGGTCCATGTCCGAATAGTCCTTCAGGGATGAATCCTCATCCTGTCCGTCTTGGATATCTTCGGTACGGACATGGATTCCAGTGTCCATGTCAGTAGAGGTGGAATTTAGGTCCGCATCATCCGCTCTGGCCTTGGAAAGCGAGTCCTCTGGATCGTTTGGATCAGATGCGGAATTGTGGGAAGATGGGTTGTGCAGGAAAAAAGCGTTGTCCCCAGATGGGAGCTGCAAGCTGCTGTGGGGTCGCTCAGAGTCATGGATGATCTTCAGGGCTTCTTCTATACTAGGGGTGTTGGGCTGAGGGTCATACGGAAGGCTTGGGTTGTCTGCTGATACACCATTTGAGTACCTGAAACATGGGATATTCATTCAGTTTCAGTGAATTTTCAAGATCTGGATAACAATTACTTCAATATATAATAGCTGTCCACTGAATATAATAAAACTATGAGGTTGAGGTAGTGACATTTGTCCTAATCTTTTTAAAATATGCAGACTGTGCTGAAGTTTCAATTAGATTTAGTGTGTAAGTCATATCATTTACACATTGGACACATTGCATGTATGCAAAATATTGCAGTTTGGACGCTTTCATTGCAAATAAACTGGCTTATCAGTGGGTACTGAATTGAGTCTGTACTTGATAGTGACAATACAGCAGAAAGACTGGTATGTCGCCTTTTTACAATTTTAGTATGGACTTAACAAAGGACTTGCACTTGTATGGACTGTGTGTGTTGTTTTTATTGTGCTTTTGTCATTTTGACAGTGTCCTTCTCCATGCAATTCCATTCAGTCAAACCTCTTTTGTGTTTCAAAAAACACAGGTTTAATATAACATGAAAGTGGGTAAATAATGACAAAATTCAAATTTTTGGGTGAACTGTAGCTTTAAATGTGCCAAAAGGAAAACAAAGATTTACTCAGTGTAGTTTCCCAGACGATGTCTGCTGATGTGTCTGTTGGATTCCTCATCATCCTCCTCACGTATTTTGCTGTGGGCGTTCCCATTAACGGGCTGGAAGGAGAGGTTCCTCCGCATGCCTCGGGCTGCGTGGTGAACTTTAAAACCCAAACCTTCAGTGCTTGCCGATCGGCTCAGTCCACGTCCTGAAGATGAACTCATGCTGTCATCAAGTGGAATCTCAAATGATATCCCATGAGCTGATGACCTGAGGTGAAGACAAACAGTTACTCATCTGCAGCATGTAAAAGACAGAGTAAGAGAGTCAAATGCACAGAAAGTTTGTAGAGTGCACAAACCGTTTCTCTTTAGGCCATGTCCCCACACATCCGTCCACATACGACAAGGAGGACGACCGCCTGTTAACTGTTGTGAGATAAAGAAATACCCATTTACTTACATGAAGCAGCAAGTAAGTGTTTACAACTAAATAAAAGTTCATCTACATTTATTCAGTGCATTCAAGCTATACATTTTATCAGTGTGTCATCTGCAGCATGTAAAAGACAGAGTAAGAGAGTCAAATGCACAGAAAGCTTGTAGAGTGCACAAACCGTTTCTCTTTAGGCCATGTCCCCACACATCCGTCCACATACGACAAGGAGGACGACCGCCTGTTAACTGTTGTGAGATAAAGAAATACCCATTTACTTACATGAAGCAGCAAGTAAGTGTTTACAACTAAATAAAAGTTCATCTACATTTATTCAGTGCATTCAAGCTATACATTTTATCAGTGTGTGTGTTTTACCAGATGAGCTACAGGATATACAAAAGTAATATGAGGTGCAAAATCTCTTATAAGTTCAATAAAAGTGTGACTTAATTAATTTTTGGAAATCTTACCTGAGTTGTCATTTTTAGGTTGTGACCTAAAGGAATATAAATTCAGACTTGCATAAGCTCATTATTTAAATTCTTTGTAAACCTCAGACTAGCATTGTATTAAAGACAAACCTAGACTGTTCTGGACTGCCTGGTCTGTGGATCAGGTTTTGTTTGGTTATGGGAGCCATTTTATTGGACTGGGATGGGTCAGATACTACAAAAGAAAAGATAAACAAAATTGGTCCTAATAAAATGCATGACATGCACACCAAATATAATGAGACACCAGATGAGACAGACCTTACCTTTGGTATTGAGTGTGCGGGGCTGAACAAAAGATGGTTTCACAACTTCACACCACCAGAATAGCTCTGCCATAAACACAAGGTAGTTACTCTGAAAACACACAAACACACACTAAAATTATTGAGAAGAAAATGATACACAGCAAAGAGAAGTAGTGAAGAGACCTAGATGGAAAGCTTTCAGACAGTCTCTCTTCAGTCTTTAAATATATTGAACGAAGGGCCTGACATGTTTGTAATGTTGCTCTATAACCACAAGGTGTCAATGTTCTCTTATAGATTGTAATAGACTCTTACTAACTTCAAAAAGCAAGATAATGGCTGTATGTATATACTACGCAGTATATACTATGTACTGCCTACTACTTTAAAAAAATGTGCGGCGTATGATTTATAAACCTGGGTATTCTTTGCATACAGAAATTTTGCAGACTACACACAGTATTCATACTATATACTGCATGAGGAATAGTATGGATGGTCATGTGATCTGAACATGGTGGCAGTGAAGTCTAGATTCTGATCACCCAATAGGCATCATAACATTCTGTTGTGACAGAACACACAAACACAAGTTTAAGCTATTTAAACACCATAATAACTGTGCAAACTAAACTGACTTTCCTCAGTGTATAACATAATATAGTGTGTTTATTGAAAACAACTGTGCAGCAACCATAAAAAGAGTCTCTTTCAGTGCATTAAAGGGTGTTCTGACCCGACAAGAGCAACAAAGCAACCGGGGCAGGCTGACACGAACAGAACAGACCCAGCACTCTCTGCTGATTTATTCAGTCCTGCCACCTTTATTTCACCACAGTTAGTGGCTGTTAGCCTCATGAAAAAGGCTTTTTTAGTGAAAAACACACCACGTAAGCCCTAAATGACCAAAGAAATCAAATGTACCTTTGTTTTACTCGAGTACATGTGATTGGCTGAAGCAGCCGACAAGTATTTTAACCTGGTTTACATAATCGACCACAGACTCATCTGACATAATGGTAAATACACGACTGCCAGTTTGGAAAATGTAACACATTTGCTTAAAAAATAGGTTATAATGGTGCCTATGTGAGGTAATGGCTACACATGGACTGTGTTTATCTAGACACACCACACCACTAACATAACTGTCTGAGGCGATCCACTTGGCAGCGCTCTCACATGCACACAAACGATGACTCAGTCATCCCAAACCGTCAGATTTAAAACACGCACTGGTCGGCTTTCCTTTCCTGCGTCAGCCCTGCTGAAATTCCCTGTAATACTCCAGTGATCAAACTTGCATTGGCCTCAAACTATATTCAGTGGAAAATCACCACATAAAGTGCTCAGAAACTGTATCCTAGAAACCATATAAAGTTTGCAACACTGAACCAAATGGGAAACACACATCATATTCATTGTGTTGAAACATCTGAGAAAACTTCAGATACTAAATCATACTAGAAAAAAAAAAAATATATATATATTAGAGCTGGGCAAGTTAACGCGTTATTATCGCGTTAACGCATTAATTGATTAACGCCGACAATTATTTTATCGCACATTAACGCAGTTTTTTATTATTATGAAAGTCCGTTGCTCACTGGCTCTGAATACACATACAGACAAACCATGGGTCACAGGAGGGGTGGGATGTTGATCAGTACTGGCTTGGGATGGGCGTCATCACGCGTCTCAACCAATGAGAGCATTTGGGGTGGGCCTAAGACTGCATCAGCGCTCACATGAACGCTCCCGATAAAATTATTTAGGCTAAGTATTAACATTCACAAACCACTGTTCACTGTTCATTTTTAACAGAAAAGAATGCAACGTGCTCGTAATCACCAGATGAGACAGACCTTACCTTTGGTATTGAGTGTGCGGGGCTGAACAAAAGATGGTTTCACAACTTCACACCACCAGAATAGCTCTGCCATAAACACAAGGTAGTTACTCTGAAAACACACAAACACACACTAAAATTATTGAGAAGAAAATGATACACAGCAAAGAGAAGTAGTGAAGAGACCTAGATGGAAAGCTTTCAGACAGTCTCTCTTCAGTCTTTAAATATATTGAACGAAGGGCCTGACATGTTTGTAATGTTGCTCTATAACCACAAGGTGTCAATGTTCTCTTATAGATTGTAATAGACTCTTACTAACTTCAAAAAGCAAGATAATGGCTGTATGTATATACTACGCAGTATATACTATGTACTGCCTACTACTTTAAAAAAATGTGCGGCGTATGATTTATAAACCTGGGTATTCTTTGCATACAGAAATTTTGCAGACTACACACAGTATTCATACTATATACTGCATGAGGAATAGTATGGATGGTCATGTGATCTGAACATGGTGGCAGTGAAGTCTAGATTCTGATCACCCAATAGGCATCATAACATTCTGTTGTGACAGAACACACAAACACAAGTTTAAGCTATTTAAACACCATAATAACTGTGCAAACTAAACTGACTTTCCTCAGTGTATAACATAATATAGTGTGTTTATTGAAAACAACTGTGCAGCAACCATAAAAAGAGTCTCTTTCAGTGCATTAAAGGGTGTTCTGACCCGACAAGAGCAACAAAGCAACCGGGGCAGGCTGACACGAACAGAACAGACCCAGCACTCTCTGCTGATTTATTCAGTCCTGCCACCTTTATTTCACCACAGTTAGTGGCTGTTAGCCTCATGAAAAAGGCTTTTTTAGTGAAAAACACACCACGTAAGCCCTAAATGACCAAAGAAATCAAATGTACCTTTGTTTTACTCGAGTACATGTGATTGGCTGAAGCAGCCGACAAGTATTTTAACCTGGTTTACATAATCGACCACAGACTCATCTGACATAATGGTAAATACACGACTGCCAGTTTGGAAAATGTAACACATTTGCTTAAAAAATAGGTTATAATGGTGCCTATGTGAGGTAATGGCTACACATGGACTGTGTTTATCTAGACACACCACACCACTAACATAACTGTCTGAGGCGATCCACTTGGCAGCGCTCTCACATGCACACAAACGATGACTCAGTCATCCCAAACCGTCAGATTTAAAACACGCACTGGTCGGCTTTCCTTTCCTGCGTCAGCCCTGCTGAAATTCCCTGTAATACTCCAGTGATCAAACTTGCATTGGCCTCAAACTATATTCAGTGGAAAATCACCACATAAAGTGCTCAGAAACTGTATCCTAGAAACCATATAAAGTTTGCAACACTGAACCAAATGGGAAACACACATCATATTCATTGTGTTGAAACATCTGAGAAAACTTCAGATACTAAATCATACTAGAAAAAAAAAAAATATATATATATTAGAGCTGGGCAAGTTAACGCGTTATTATCGCGTTAACGCATTAATTGATTAACGCCGACAATTATTTTATCGCACATTAACGCAGTTTTTTATTATTATGAAAGTCCGTTGCTCACTGGCTCTGAATACACATACAGACAAACCATGGGTCACAGGAGGGGTGGGATGTTGATCAGTACTGGCTTGGGATGGGCGTCATCACGCGTCTCAACCAATGAGAGCATTTGGGGTGGGCCTAAGACTGCATCAGCGCTCACATGAACGCTCCCGATAAAATTATTTAGGCTAAGTATTAACATTCACAAACCACTGTTCACTGTTCATTTTTAACAGAAAAGAATGCAACGTGCTCGTAATCACGACTTCATAAGTGGGAAATAGGAAGTTTCCGATAGCACGTGACGTGAAGACAGCAGAGAAGCGCTCTCGCTCAGCCCAGTGGAGTGTGCATCGTTTTGTTAACTTTGTGGTTTATTATTTTGAGTCATTTGGGACGCGGTAACACACGGCCCTCTTCACAATATATTGCTTTACAGATCTATCACTCTTGCCGCTCAAAAATGTTCATGCAATCATGCTGCACGCATCATAAGTTCCGCGCTCCGGCGCGGTTAGCGCTCACACTCACTGATCTATATATAACTGAACTGCGCTCTGGCCCACCTCTTCCAACCGAGCCAGGCGCCCGAGCGTGGCACGGAGCGATCACACTAGTCAAACGAACCGGGCTTTGGGGGTCAAACGTGCTCGGGCACGGTTAAGATTGCCTAGTGTGAGTATACCCTTATTCTCCCGCATCCCGCACACACGAGTCTCTACCCGCCCGCACCCGCCCATTAAATATTGTCCCGCGCTACACTCAGTTGCATTGGGTCCCGCGATCGTGCAGGTCTCTGAAGGTGCCTGTTATAATGTTATGAT